TATTGCCAACCAAGGCAACTAAGAAGATGATGTGTTTGAGAAAGCAAAACAAAGGAATTTGGGAATTAAATGGGTCTGTCTCCTCCACACACTATGACAAGCCTTCTCCAAACCGTAATGATGCCATGATGGTAGCTCAACATCTTGTCTATGTTTATCTTGTCATGGAACATAAGAGGGTCGAGGCTCTTGGGAGAAAAGGGCGCTCATTAAAAACCTCATATGATAAAACAAAATCCCACCATCATCATCTCACAAGAAAAAAGTGTCATATATCAATAGACTCTTCATTAAATCCCTTTGGAGCTCCAAATATATTGTCTAGACTTCTTTGGATTTCGTGGGAGCTTCAGGTGGTATTCTCATTATGTGGAATGAGCCATCTTTCAACGTCTCCAACATTACCAGAAGTGCCTTATCTCAATCTCTTCTCATCTCTTTTGCTCATGGCTTCAATTTTTGGCCTACAGTCTGTCTAAATATGAGGAAACCCTCTCTTTTGGGAGGAATTAATAGACCTCTCCTATCTGCACGAACGATTGGGAGGTGATTTCACCACTATTCGTTGGACCGAGGAGAAACCGACTTGTAGAAGACCCACCAGTAGCATGCACCAATTTAACAACTTCTTTAAACTTGTTGCTCTCCGGGACATCCCCCTCTTCAATGGTCTTTATACATGGTCAGATTTCAGTGATAGCCTACTCTTACTCTAATTGACAGATTCCTATTGACAGACGTTTTTCTCTCCAAGTTCCCAAAGCAGTGGTTAAGAGATTGAATCGGCCTACATCAGACCATTACCCCATACGTCATGGGTCAATGTAAAATGGTTTACTACAAAGAACTTGCTTCTAACTATCTTTCACTGTCATCAAAGAAATTCCGACCTAACCACATTTCATCTTCAGGTTTCAATTTTAGCAGAAGTAGTAGCAGACCAGATTTTTAACATTACAGCATTGGCAACTGAAAGGAGAAATCAACATATTACTGATCCTTATTCAATTAAAAAATAAAATGAAAAAAAAAAAAGCAAGTCCTCTTTTAACACATTGAAAGGGATACAGACGGCAGACGAATACAAAAAACAGAATTATACTTCTCAAAGTAGAAAGAAATGATTCCAGTGCACACATGACAGAAAATAAGTTGATAATACTGAACCCACTTGATCGCCAATCACAAATCCACCAACCTACAGAATCCGACGGGAAACTTAAATAAAATTGAAACAATTCGATCCGTAAAAGGGAGCTACCTGTTTCAAGAACATTGGGGAATCCTCGAGTTTGACGAACGCCGCCATTCCGTCCGCTCGGTGCGTATGGGACAGAGAAAAATTCCTTGTTTCTCAGCTGAGAGTATGAGATTCAGCCATGGCGATGGGGAAGTAATGAGGGTGGAATTATTGTGCACGTGGAGGGCTCCTTGGTCATCATGGCATACAAAACAAAAGCCCACTCACCCAACCCGATGTCCACCCTTTCCCATTATTTTCACTTTGACCAAAATACCCCTCTAACTCACGAAGAACAATTTTTATATTTATTTTGACGTGTTTGGTAATGTTTTTGTTTCTGGTTCCTGTTTCTTCGTTTTTAATAAAGAAAAATGAATTGTATGGTCTCAACATCAATGTAATAATACAATCTTCTTATTTATGTGTTGGAGCAAATGGAAAATAGAAACAAGAAAGAAAAAAAATTTTGGTTGTTTCCAAAACTTCTATACAAATTTTTGGAATGTTCCTAAAAAATAAAAAATAATAAATATAGTTAGTGGCAAGATGCTTAGATTTCTTAAGAAAATTGGAAACAAGAAACGAGAAACATGAACGTTACCAAATGAATCCTAAAATACTCGTTTCTTTTCACAATGGGGTGGGGATTAGAACTCAGGTCACTACTTTATTGTCGGAGATATGCGTCTTTAATAGGTATGGCAAAAAAACTCATGGGACTCGATCTGCTCGAGTACCTGACCTGATCGGGTCAAGGAATCCCCGGTTTGACCGAGGATGTGGTCAAATCGAGGTCCTCGGCAGGGACGGGGTGGGGATGGGCCCCGTCCCCGCCCCGTTTAATATTTTATTAATTTTTCTATTTTTATATAATAATATTAATATATATCAAGCTATTTAGCCACTTTTTCTTCATTTTTTATACTAGTAATAAAAAATTAATTAAAAATATTTTTTTATAACGGAAACGGGTTCCCTATTAGGAATCCACGCCCTGTCCCCGCCCCCAAAATTTCGAGGACGGGGGCGGCGATGGGGAAAAAATTACCAAAGGGGCGGGGATGGGGATGACCCCCCGACCACATCCGTCCCGTTGTCATCCCTAGTCTTTAACATGTTACTTTATATATCTTTTGTGTTTTATGAAAATGTGTTGATAGTAAAGTCATATAACTCTTTCATATGACCCTCTTTGTTTCTTATTTTTCATTTATCGTTTGTATGACGGGTTTCTCATTTATTTCCTTTTAATAAAATAAAAAAATGGAACTTGTAGAACCATAAATTTTGGACAATCATAAACGGTTACGTCGTTATTGACAAAACTGTATTTTTATTAAATTTGTGGATAATTATAAATTATTCCTAAATTAAAATTAAAGAAGAAAATGACAATTCTCAAATAATGTCATATGTCATTCATTGGGCCCTTTGGACCAGTTTTAATTGTTCAACTAGGTTCATACAAAATTAGGTCCGGTATCCATTTAGTTTACAAATCTACTAGATGGTATTTTGGCCTGAAAACTCAAATTACTATAAGACCATTATGGTGGATTGATATTTAAATAAGTCCAAATCCACCTAAAGAATTGGGCTGAGTCCAAAATCACCAAAACCCAAATCTTTTGAAATTAAATTGGGCATGTAACCCAAATAGAGTTCAAATTCATGGGTTGGGCCCAAAACTAGTCGTTTTGAAGTTAAATTGGGCCAATGACCCAGATCCATTGGTTTGGTAAAAAAATAGCCCAAGCCCAAAGCTTATTAAGCCGGCGGAAACCTCTATAAATAGAGGGGTCTCCCTCATTTTCAAAGGTTCAGAATTTCATACTTGAGAGAACTCACACCAAAGTGAAAACTCTTTAAATACTTGAAGATTCGAAGACAAACTTGAACACTCGATGAACATAGAACTTCAGTCTAAGTTCAAAAACAAACATATCAATCTTCACATCAAGTTCAAGAAAAAGAATCAGAGGATAAAGACTAGAGATTGAATCAACTATACAACTTATACAACAACATAAAAGTTCAACTCCACAAATCCTAATTTCTCCGAAATTCTCGTGTGAACGAATTGGTACGCCCAGTGGTACGATCTCTACCTCTCATCTCTTCCTCAAGAATCAAAATTTTGCCAGAGAAAGTAATGACATTATAGAAAATCTTCCCAACAAATCTTCTCCTTGATAATGAGAAAGGGGTATGAAGAAGATTGCTCTTCATTGCAAGAGCTTAAACTGCATGATGTTTCTTGGTCACGTGAACTTAAAAAATAAGAGACCAAAAATATATAAATATACATATATATCGAACTACGTTATAACTTGATCCATTTTCTTAAAGAGCACGGAGGCAGCTTAAAAGAAAAACTTTAAGTTCATTCTAGAAAAAAAATGTCACTGTGGAAATTACAAATTGAAACATGGTTATTGTTATGGAAAGCGACCACCACAATTAAAGTAGCCAAGCAAATTGTCGTTGCCAAGGATAGACAACACAATCGTCAAATTTGAAGAGTGATTCTTGTTTGAATCTCATAGAAGAAAAAAAAGATCCAATTATTGTCAGTAAACTAGAGGCATGTTTATCTCCTAAAACTCCAAAGTTGAATTAAATCAAGATTTCCTTTGGGCATATTCCAAATTTTACTCATGTCGAAATTGGAGTAAAATTCAAATTTTATTATAAATTCAAGCCAAATTTAAATATGTCCAAGATGTTATTTGAAGACAAAATTTTGGTAGAATTGGAAATTTACTTCAAATAAAAATTTGGATATATTGCAAAATTTATCCCAAATCAAAATTTCAATTTTAAATTGGAATTAAGGTAGAACATACAATCTACTAAAATTCAAATAAAGTTTATTGCCAAATAAGAATATCAAAATTTTGACCAAAATTCATATTTTGATTAATTGTCATAAAAATGTGTCAAAAAAATAGTTGATCAAAATTTTGAACAAGATTCATATTTTAATTAATTTGGCACATTAATAGGGATTGAAATCGTAAATAAATATCAGACATTTCAATTCCAAACTTTTTCAAGATTCACCACGTATACTCGTGCATAAATCTCGAAAATGGACATTTGTTGACTGATAAATTTCGGCAAATCACAAATTGCCACATAATAATGACAAAGTTATATGTCATTAAATCGAGGTCAATTAAAAATTTGATAAGTGTCTCTAAATTAAAATATATAAAACAAAATTGGCCAATTAAATAACGCACACGTTATTTTTGGGCATTTGAATTCGACCAATCAAATTATGTCATGACTATATGATGACATAAGTTTGTCTAATAAGATTGCGCCACATATGACATAAATTGGTCCAATCAAAATTCGCTACGTCTATTTCAAATGGGTCCAAGCCCACCTAAGGTACATGAATGACCCTACAAATAAAGGGGTTTATTCACCATCTAATTTATCTTGCATAGGATCAAAATTCTCTCCACACATAGGATTAAAATCTTTCAGCTCTCTAAAGATCAAGGAGAAGCCAAAGAAGATTAAGATTATCATCAACGATCAAGATCAACAAGCCACCAAGAAATCGATCAAGATCAACAAGCCACCAAGAGATCGATCAAGATCAATAAGCCACCAAGAGGCCGATCAAGATCAACAAGCCAAAGGACTGATCAAGATCAACAAGTCTAGAAGGCTGATCAAGATTAACAACTCGCAAGAAGGCCGATCTAGATCAACAAACCACTAGAAGGCCGATCAAGATCTACAAGCCACCGAAAGGCTGATCGAGATCCACAAGCCGCTCAGAGGCCAATCAAGATCAACGAGCTGCCAAGATGTCGATCCAGATCCACAAGCCGCCAAGAAGTCGATCAAGATAGATCAACAAGCCGCCAAGAGGCCAATCAAGATCAACAAGCCAATAATTAAGGGAAAGAATCATATGATAAATATTAGAGATTGTACGAACCCCAAATATCAATATAAATTGTATTTAGTTCACGAAATAAAATTTCCTTGAAAATCTCGTGTGAACAGAGCTGAATTTAGTAATTATTTTTCTTGTTTGGTAAATATTTATTGGTTGTTAACTTTTTAAATTCTATATGGAAATCCTTTTTTAAATTTAATATTCAAAATTTTCATATTATATTAATCTTTCGATATTTAGTATATATTTCATAAGTCAAGAATGATAAAATCTTGTTTTTATTTATGTTTTGAAAAAAAACTTGAAAGAAGAAACAATAATCTTATTTTGTTGTTTCCATATATATAGTTTTAGACACATTTATTAAAAATGAGGAATGATAAATAGGAAAAGTTAGCAAATGCTCATGTTTTTCAAAAACTAGAAATGTGAACAAAACATGAAATGTTACCAAACAAGCCGTTAGTTAATATTTAAAATATGATTAAATTACAAATTTAGTTTGATGATATTGTGTATTATGGGTGAGAAAATCTCTATTTTCTACAATTCGAATTCCCCTTAAAGGAATTCAAAAGGAGAAAATATCTTGATGGTCTTAGGATTTTCCCTAGATTCAGGAGAATATATCCTTTATTCAAAAAGAAGAAGATATCCTGATGGTCTTAGGATTTTACCTCTATAAATAAAAGGTCATAATGAAGGTACGCTACAAGTCCCTACTATTTGCTATGCTAAATACCCTACACTATATACTTGACTACTCCGATACTAACTTAAGCATCGGAGCCTGTATGGCAAGAGCCACACCGGTCTTTAGTGCTCTTATGTTTTGCAAGTCTCGTCGATCCCTTTTATTCTAGAAGATTTGTGGAAATTTGGCGGAACCCCACAAGACAAAATTTATGGATCAACAATTGGCACCGTCTATGGGGACGATTAAAGATCTAAAAGTCAAGACGATCAACGACGAATTGATCGAAAATTGTTCCGATCCAAGGAGGTTTAGGGAAAAGCAAATCAACAAATTCTGAGGCAGGACCCAGAACAAACGAATCAACAATTCCAGGACAGATCATGGGTAAGTTAATCAACAGCTTGGTCAAGGAACTCGAATTGGGACATACCTAGAAGTAGGCTAATAAGCTAGAAGCCAGTCAATGAAACATGAGAAGAGAATCTTAAAGGTGTTGAAAAATGCATGCGTATAGGCCCATCAAGATTAAAACAAAAAGCAGGCAAGCCAAACCAATCAATGAAACCCAAGGTAT